GGGTTCCCGGGCCCGGCTCCGGCCGGGCCCGCCCGGGAGTCAGTGCCGCCGCGGCGGGCCGCTCGCGCCCGGCAAGTTACCACCGGAACTGAGTTAAGTTTGTTTCGGAGCCGCCGGCCGGCTCTATGAGCCTCGGAGTGAGGAAACATTCCATGGCATTTACTAATGCCCAATTATAAATTAATATCCTTTTAACAAACACTTGTACCTGTTAATTTGATCATAAGCATACAGTTTTTAGTCAATTTTGTACCAGGATGATTTGTACCACTCAGTACTCTTTTATATTTGTTTTAAGCATTTGAGTTCCGGCTTACACGCCTCTTGGCTGCTCTCTACCCTGTGTACCGGTATGTTTGTCTGATGTGGAGGGGGTAGGGTTATTCGTATATTTCGATACACGCTCATGAAATCTTATTAGTGTCAGCCATTGACGAGTGTAGTAAATCCAGCCAATAAGTATTTTTGTTTTCAAATCAAGGAGTCGTATGCCAGCTAGCAACGGCAATCTTTTTTTTCTACACCGGTTGTTTTATATGGATACCTACCCTATGTCTATAGGGTGCCACCGAAACACAGGTCCCCTTGCCCCCGATCAAAGAGCAAATAATTTTCATTAAAAATCCTGAGATCTCCATTGCAAGTATCCCTCCCCTCCTCCTTCCATGCTCTTCTCCCTCCCTCCCTCCCCCCTGCTCCCCTCCCTTCCTCCCTGCTCCCTCCCTCCCCCCTGCTCCCCTCTCTCCCCGTTGCTTCCCTTTCCCTTGCGCTCCAGTTATAGACACCAACAAATGAATCTTCACCGTCGTGTATCAGCAACAAATGGAATTCAGAGAAGGCGAAGGCAGGAAGATTTCGATACATTCTTGGAGCAGGAAGAGACTTGTGATGAGTCAAAGACACCTCAAGATTTGAAGCTTCGAATGATCCTGCATACGTCAGTTGATGATCGAGACTTGCCCAGGATGTACTGGAAAAAGCCAAGCAGTAATTTGAATATTATTCTTGAGCCTGGCACAGGGGTTCAATATCAGTGTGAAGATCACAGGGGCGTTGAAGTGAATCGACTGGGCATGATCAAATCGCTGCACTCAGATGCACAGGTTGTCGAAGTGTACATCATGTACAATGGAGTCCTCTTGGAACATGTAGACGAAACCATTATAACTAATCGAGTGCCCTGTGTGGCCCTGAAAAGAATTTTGAACAAGGTTGGAAACCGTGATTGTTATCAATCAATTTACAAGGATACGGATGAAATGAATGCTATACCAAAAATGTGTTTCTTCAGCTTTCCTTGCATGTTGGAGCATGCCAACGATGATCTCCACGATAATTTCAGAGTGCATGGGTATATATTTTTTCATGAAGACGACATCGAAAATAATAAATACTGTGAAATCTCTCACTTCTCGATTGCAAACCCGGCACCACTCGTTGAAAAGATGGCGCAAACAACTTTCTGTTCAGCGGCGGAGTACAATCGGATTTGTCGAGATATGACCGAGGTCAAAATGATGTTCAATCAGTGGTTGAAGTCAAGGAGTAAGACGTTTGAGAAGAATTTTGTTTGTTGTTTTCAATTGATTTTCGTTGCTTTCGATTGCTTTACAATTTTTGTTTGTTGTTTTCCATCGCTTTACGTGTGACATGCTCGTCACAAGCCATGTTTATGAACTCCGAAAACCTCAGCATCTTTTCGCTGCCTGTTTCACAACCTCGGAATCATCGCCGTCTTTGTCCAAACCTACATCCGCAAGATGTTCCTATTCGCTTGGGCACCCGCTTGTCTCCATGCTTCTCTTCCCCACAACTGATAAAAACATTACATTCGCAGGAATGATATTCAATGGAGACTCTACCTTATGTCTTAGCTCGCTGGTTCTGATACTGAGAAGTCCTGAGGGAAGTTCATTCACATCCGGCATTCATGGCGTTGAATAGTTCATAGATCTTACACTTGCGATCTATTTGCAATCAAGTTGCCTACACGACTGACATGCCTTATGCTTATGTGCTTGGTTGACACAGAGAGGAGGAAGTATGGGTCTTGTAGAATGCCAACCAAAACAACAATCAATTGCCTAATCAGAGAGATCCTTTACGAGAAACAATCTAGACACCAAACAACTCTACAGTCAGAGATGTGCTCGAAGCTCAAGCATACGAAAGAGGGTTGTGGATGCTTGATCACCAAAAACGAGCAATTCTCCATCTTGCAATGAGCATCAAAAGGATTCGAAAACAGCCCTAGGCTCTGGAATCCATGGCGATGCTGATTCCTACAGCTTCCTTTGAAAAACAAGCTCGAGCTGTTTGAAACGTCGTCTTGCAGTATGCCGCAAAAGTACAAACATTCACACATGATCCAACCTTGGATGGCCTGGAGCTTGAATAAGATGAAAGAGCCATTGGCTGAGAGCCATCTGGGATTCAAACAAACGCCGCCTGCGCCGGCGGGTGCGGATGCAGAGCAATGGGGGAAGGGTAGGGCAGGCGATTTGGTTGTATATGCACCCCCCAGGCGTGTAAAAGCGTGTAAGGTCAAAAATAGTTTTAATGTTTGAAACCTTGTTGTTTGGAGGAAGCAAGAATACTTGTAAACCTAAAACTGCTCGACACGGTCCCCGATTCAAACATACTTTCAACCATTATCGAAGTTTCTGGTACAAATTTTCAGTGCGCCGACCATTCAAAAATCCTGGGCTGAAGTACCCCGCTCGAAAATGATCAAAAGCGAGCATTAGAAAATGCCATGGAATGCACACTGTGACATCTGAACTTCTCGACACTGTGCGCCGTGACAGGCCGCGCCGCATACCGTACTGCACGGTGACTGCCAATCACTGACATTGACTATCATATCAGTATGATCGGTCGGATACTATGATACCGGTGACCCGGGCCGGGCGAACTTCATCGGACTCTGACCGTACCGTACGGCCCGTGCCGTCCGGGCCGACAGTGAGACTCTCGGTCGGAAAAGACAGCGAGCCTCGCCGCCGCCGACTCTCAACCTGGCAACTCAGTTGACCCTCACAGTACGGTACGGTCATCTTGCCAGGCCGCCCGGCTACTCAGTGCTTTAACTGAACTGCCATGCCGCATGATACTCCGAGTCAGGCTTTCAGTACCTTCGCCGCAGCTCAGCTGAGAGAACTTCGGAAATCCGGCCGCGACTCAGCGATGGTCCGACTTCAGCGGCGCGGCTGCCCGTCTGCTGCGGCGGGCCCCGGCTATGAAAATCCGAACAGTACGGTAAGAGCCGATGAGCACGGTACTGATTTTTTAACTTAACTTTGAGTAAAGATTTTTAACTTAACTTTGAGTAAAAAACGACCCCGGCGAGCCCTCCACGGACTCACAACAGTCGCAGTGGCACATGCCGCAGTGCCACGCCCGGGCCATCCTCGGACCCCCGGCCCCCGGCCCGTAGACCGACTCATCAGTCCGGGGGAGACCTCGTGACCGTTTACAGCCGGAGAGGTCCTCAATCTGGTGCAGGATTTACAAAGGTGAGCTGCACTATCGCATTTGATATTAGTGCTAGATTCGAGAAAACGATGAGCCTGGTGTGGGGGCGTTGGATTGTGAAGTAGCCAATGCAACCCCCAACCCAGCGTCCCGGGGGCCAACGGGATGGTGAATCGAGAGGTGGGGTGGGTGGGTCCCGTTCTCACATGGGGTAGGTCCGGGACCTGTCACATGGCACAACAGGCAGTCATGGTCCACCACCCCCCTCTGTCGTGTAAGCTACAACCACCCCCGATCCACCCTGTTGTATCCCAGGGGTGTTGTAGGGTACCCCCAAATTTTCCACCACCCACCCCAAAATCTCAATATTTGGACCGTCTTTTCCGACCCTTGACCTCTTTCAGAAGCACCCTACCCCCAATTCAGGCGACCCGACACTGCGTGCATAAATTGGTCAATATAATTGCTTGGAGATGACCCACCTCCAATTGATTTGATTTCACAGTAGGAGAAGGGGGTCCAACAACCCTGTGACCGGCATGCCCTGGTTCTCAAACTACAGCGTTTCGAAGAAACCAAATCTCTATGTATTCGAAAAGAAGTGTTTTCGATAATTACCACGACCTCTCGGTATCCCGTGCATTCCCTGCAGACGCAACGGGAGGAATCGAAAGCCACGGGCGAGGGCGAGCAGCAGCGAAGTAGAGGAGAGGAGTGAAGAGGAGAGGAGAGAGAGAGAAGACAGTCATCTGAGGGCAATACCAAGACATAGAGAGAAGGGTTCGAGCACAGGAAGGTTTGAGCAATGCTGATGAGTAGGAAGAACTAGTCGTAGCAGTTGAATTCCGATGAGTATGGTGGAGGCACATCAAAAGCAGTGTAATGAAGAGGAGGAATCGCCGAGGTGTAGCAGGAGGGGGAGCATCGATCTCCATGAAAAGATGCAGATCCTGATGAATTCGCCCATCATACGAGCAAGGGCAGTGGATGCAACCTGCCTCCAGTTCGTTGCACAGAAGATGTCTGTGCGCATTGTGGAGAGGGGAGATTTCATAGCGAGGAAGGGATGCCATGGGACCCACATGTTCTGGCTGGTGTCCGGGTGCTGTGAGTGTATCCTGGACAACAAGGTCATAGACTTTCTTCAGCCTGGAAGATGCTTTGGGGAGATGCTCGTCGTGAAGCTCTGCAAGCTGGTCAGAGATGGAGTCGACATTAAGACAGCACTGCAGGAATGCCGGAGATCAGCCGACATTGTTGCCATGGAAACTTGCACCTTGCTTGAGCTGTCTTACAAGGTCGTCCTGCCGTTGATGAGGATGGTACCAAACCTCTGGTTCTCGTTGGAGGATTGCATCAGGGTCAACAGCGAGAGGATGAAGAGAACGAGGCTGCTGGAGTTGAGGATCGAGGCGGTGAAGAACTCTCCCCTCGACATCGATGGACGAGTCGCTGCTTTGCTGCAGAGCAGCACGATCCGTGCTCGGAGGGTGGACATGAACTGCCTGCGAGAGATTGCTGACCGGATGACGGTGAGCGTGGCCAAGAAGGACGAGATTATTGCGAAGAAGGATTCGATAGGAACTCACATGTTCTGGGTTGCATCAGGGAGCTGCATCTGTATGCTGGACGGGGTGATCATCGACAAGCTGGAGAAGGGGGAGTGCTTCGGGGAGATGTCTGTCATGAAGATCTGCCGGCTGCTGAAGCAGGGCCTGTCCAAGGAACGAGCGCTATCAGAGGGCAAGAGGGGAGCAGACGTTCAGGCATCGGAAGACTCTCTCCTCCTTGCTCTGTCCTACGACGACGCGTACAGATTGATCAGGGTGGTTCCGAACTTGTGGCTGACGCTGGAAGATCTTTGCAAGCTGAGGAGCATGAGGGTAGAGCGGTTGCTTGTGTGCTCGCTAGACAGCTGAGCTGGTGTACTCGATTATTGATTAGTGCTGTCACACCTATTTACAAGAGGAGGGGAATGAAAGAATAATCAAAAGAATCATGTTGTGGCTGTTGTAACGTTGTCGTGGACGAGGAGGAGAAGAGGACGGTCATTGGCGAAGGACTGTTGTGTTGCAATCAGAGCACTTCCTGCTGGAGGGTAAGTCGACGTCACTGACACGAGGGACGAACGACCTGGTCCTGACGTAGAGGAGGCGAGTGAAATCTTTGAAGCCGATGGCTCCCTTCCCTGTTTGATCGGCGAGCTGTGAAAGAGTCAGAGAGAGCGGGAGCGCGTACGGCTGGGATGATGAAGTAGAGGCAGAGGGTGCCGGACTTGCAATATAGAAGAGGCGGGACACAGATGGAGAGAGGAGAAGTCGACAGAGAGGGAAGGAAGGCGAGGGCAGGGGGACGGGAGCGGAGGAGGGGAGAGGGAGGAGGAGGGAGGGAGGGGCGAGGGGAGGAGGGAGGGAGGGGGAGGGGAGGAGGGAGGGAGGGGAGGAGGAGGAGGGAGGAGGGAGGAGGGGAGGAGGGAGGAGGA